ATACTGATTTCTGTTTACATAGCACCTTTCTTGAGAACAGAGGACTCTATTGGCATTATTTTAATAGTCCAGGAGGAGTTAAGCAAGGCCAGGGAGCTGAACAATCAAGTCCTGTTATTCTAAGCATTATTTAATGTGTTTATGATTTGTCCTTCAAAGAATCCTCGGCCTGGGGGCAGGCAGTGGGTTGCAAAGCTGGAGAATGAGCTGTTCACTTTGTTTCTCTCCCACATGACCCGGGTATTGAGTCGGCTCCTCAGTCTCTTTAAATAGGCCCCCACCTCCCAGGCAGGATGGTACCTTTTACCCACGGAGACGATGTTGCCGATGCTGGTTGGCCCCTCTTGTTGACGTTGGATGAGTGCTGAGTCACACATTCTGGTTGGATGCGAGGAGAGACTTTGTTCATGACCTCTGATGTGAGTCTTGAACTTGTTATATTTATTTCTTTGGCTGCCTTTTGCTTTTGGTCACATCCTAGTTTCATGACTGAAAGATGGCAGCTGTGCTTTTTTCTAGACTGAAGTTCGTTTGTCAACTACAGTGTTCGCATTTTTAAGTTTTGCTCTGTTGTTAGGATTGGGAAGCAGAAATGAAAGGTCTTTGTATTGGGGAGGGTATCGGCCTCGCTTCCACCCCATCTGTCTTTCAGTCTGAATGTCTGTGGTTTGTTTTAACCCATGTGCCAGCACCTCCTCTTGGTGGTGTGAATGCACCCAGGGTCTGGCAGAAGCTGTAAACGGGATGTGGATTCTCTAGTGTCTTGATTGACTGACTCGAAGGCTCAGTGGAGGCGCTATGTTGCTTCGGGCAATCTGTTTGTAGCCAAGGACTCTCAAACCCAAAGTTTGAAAGCGCCTGGTAAAGATTTCTGGGACTGATTTACCTATGAGGATCTACAAATTACATGTTTTTCTTAGAGGGACTGAGCATGAAAGCTGTGCCAACATTTGCCCTATTAACTTCTGACTGGGCTGACTTCGGCTTCAGAGATTTGAAATACTTCAATCAGCCAATGGGTGCAGCTAGGGATGATCTTCTTCCACTGATTTGAACCATGGGCTTCGCTTTCATCACTGGTAAACCCAGTGGTGGACCAGAGAGACCTGTGAGCCCCTGATCTTTGTGGGGTTGTTTAGCCTTTGAGTCACTTTGTTTATTCCACATTTATTGGGTTACTTACTTTATTCCCTTGTGGCTCAGCTGGTAAAGAATCTGCCTGCAATGCAGGAGATGTGGGTTCTATCCCTGGGCTGGGAAGATCCCCTGGAGAAGGGAAAGGCTACCCACTCCAGTATTCTGGCCTGCAGAATTCCATGGACTTATAGTCCATGGGGTCGCAAAGAGTTGGACACAACTGAGTGACTTTCACTTTCCCTTTCACACGGTCCTTGGGTATTAATTTATTCAAGGCATTTGAGGAAGATGACTCTTAAAGACCAAATGAATTCCCACTGACCTCTTGAGAGATGAGTAAATTCAGCTCATCACATGCCAAGAATTTCAAACTCAGTACTGTATCATGGTTGTGTGTACTATAAAACTTACTCTTCACATAATACCCTAGATATGATGAACTGATTTTAAAGGAGTGGAAATGATTTGAAAAGAGTGAACATAGGTAAGACTATTTCCTAATGCATTTAATGTCTACAGAGATCCTCTCAGAGCTCTGGATGACAAATGTCAAACAGTTGAGTTTTTCAGTATTGATTTTGAGATTGATGTGGAAAACTAAAACTAATTATAATGAAGAAATATTATAAATGCTTTCTGTAGACACAGGAGGATCCACTGAGAATACAAATGTCTGTTTTAGAATTAGATTACTTTATAACAGAATGCTTATGAAACACAAGGGGGGAAATAGAAAATATATCTTCTGCTTCCAAGAAGTTGAGTGTTAAAAACTCAGAATTAAGGCATGTGAAACTGTCTCTGTCTTTTGAAAATCCAGATAATTCTAGGCCAAAAAGAATTTTTTTTGGCAAAGAAACATACTAAAAACAATAGGCCTAGAGACTCTCAAGTGCCTAAAAGTGACTACTGTAGCTGGAAGGTAAAATGGGAATAATGATGAAGGGCTTGCTTTCTTTGGATGTCTCAGTTCACCTAAGTGAGCAGAATTTAGGTAACAGTGTGGGCATCTGCATGGCAACTGCTGGTACTACGAGTTAATGCCAGAGAAGACAAAATATTTGGCACAACATTTCCTTCTTCATTATTGTACTAGGAGCCAGAAAAAATAGAAGTTTATATTCTTTTGAAGTGGGACGATGTTGTCTCTTTTTCTTCCCCCTGGGCTTCACACACTTAGACACACAAAGTATTCTCAAGATATTTGTAAGTGTGGTCTGAGAACTTACGCTGATTTTTTTTCCTTCTACTGTAAAAAAAAAAAAAAAAATCAAACTAGGTGAGTTTTGTCTGTTTTAGAATCAGCATTCCATTGTAGTTTTTAAAATGTATGAGATGGCTCAGATGGTGAAGAATCCTACAGTGTAGGAGACTGGGGTTTGAGCCCTGAGTTGGGAAGGTCCCCTGAAGAAGGGCATGGCAACATATATTCTTGCCTGGAGAATTACATGGACAGAGGAGCCTGGTGAGCTACAGGCCATGGGGTCGCAAAGAGTTGACACGACTGAGCGACTAATACACTTTCACTTTCATAGTCTACCCAAACTTTTAAATATCCTGAAAGCATGTAAAGCACTAGTTTGGAAACTGTTTCTTTAAATAAAGTTTTATTGGAACACAGCCACACTCATTCATTGACATATAGTTTTTTGCAGTCTGCTTTCCTGCTACCGCAGCAGCGTTGATTGGTTGCAGCGGAGTCCAGTAGGTCTACGGCTCTAAAATATTCACTGTGTAGCTCTTTGTAGAAAAAGTTTCTGGGTGCCTTCTTGGAAGGAGCTGGAAGACCTGGTAGGCCACTAAGATACCCCCCCACCCCAGAGTATGTATCGTGATCTTCTGTGTTAGAACCAGTGGTGAATGAGAAACAGTCTTAGAAAAACATTTGAAAAGAATTGAGGGTATTTCTGCTCCAGAAGAATCGTTTTCTTTTCAGTGAGAGGGCCAACCCAAGCGGATCTTCTCAGATCCCTTGTAACGTCAGCCTTCTGGCTTCGGTTGTACTATCTTTGATGAGTTGAAGGGCTGCCATGTGGAAGAGGCATTGGATTGTGAGGGGAGGTGGACTAGAATTAATGAGTATAGCCGACTGTGAGGATATAACTTCAGCTTGAGAATAGCATTTGTGAGAAACAGCTCATGACTAGAATGTGCCATCTTAGTGGGTAATGAGCTCCCTGTTCCTACAGATGTTCAAATGAAAGAAGTCATAATATATTTGAAGCCCCATTCCTACCTTGAAATTCTGATGACTCCTTTGGTGTAATGTTTTTGTTTCCAAGCTCAGATTTGACCACATTTTGTTGAGGGCCTATAGAGGCTTCTTCGGTGATTGCCTGAAAATGCAATCCTGGTCAAACCAAAGCAGTGTAAAGGGGGAAGAATCTCTTCTGTTGGGCAGGGGATGGCAGAAGATAGGCTGACCCAAAGGCGGGCTTTTCCTTTGGCCCCAGCAGTAACACAGTGACACCAGGAAGCACACTGCTTCCACCCAGCCTTAAAGCTTCGGAGAAGAATCATCTCTCTTCCACTCTCTTGAGCTGCTGCTACCATCTTTGTTTTCTGCCTAGGCCCCCGAGAAGTAAAAGAACCTGGCTGGGGGCATTTCACAAATGTGGATATCCAAATAGGGTCTCTGCATTGTGCTTTGCCAGAACTTGGCTGCAAGCGGCGGTTCTGGATGAAGTTGTCTCTTCTCTGTGAGGCTCTGTTGTACCACACAAAAGCAGCCGTAAACAATACGGAAATGCATGAGTGGCTGTGTTCCAATAAAACTTTATTTACAAAAACAGACAGTGGGCCAGATTTGATCCCAGGGCCTTAGCTTGCTGGCCCCTGATAAACAGGGCCAGTTAAAACTGGCTGGAAAATATCAGTGCTAATTCTCTCAAATTTTGGAGAAAAGGTGAGATGACAGGTCCAAGGTCACAGCATGGTAGAGCCAGGATTTCCACCCAGAATCTGACTTGAAGATGACTGCCAGTTCTATGATGTTGTGCTGCCTCTGCCATATAACAGGTGGTAGCACCTGGGTTTTGTTTTGTTTTTTTTTAAAGGGCTGTATGAGTGAAAGAAATACTCGCTTTAGGTGGCGTGTGAAGAGCCACAGTGAGAGCTCCGGGATGGCATTTTAACAGACACGAACCTTTTAGCCCCAGGGACTTGGCCTCCCCCCTTTTTTTTTTAGATGGACCTTGTTCACAGTAAAATGAAATATAGGTTGAAAAATTTTATATGGAGAAAGAGTGCCCCAGAGTTGTCAAAAAGCACTGGGCTCCCGCAGCTGCGTCACAGGATTTGATCACTTCAGCTGGGAGTGCCAGGAGATTTGAGACAGATGTTTTCAGACATGCCGCATGCCTAAAACATTTCCAGGGGTCGGGCTGCAAATAGTGACTTAATAAGTGGAGGAACAGGGAAAGTATGCAAGCCGAGGACACAGGAGTTTATTCAGCGCTAGGTGCACGGCCAACCTCTGTGCGTTACATCTGCCTGTCAGGGCCGGCTCTTTCATCTGCCGTGCCCTCCGTGCTGCTCTTTGTCTGCCCGTGAATAAAGTGCAGCATTGTGGTTAGTAATCCCACTCCAGTGACTCGACTTCAAATGTGGTTTTGGAGTGCATCCCAGAGTTCTGTTTGCTAAGCTTCCTACTCCTGTTTCAGAGACACCACTGGATACAGAGCAGCGAGCACTGAAGGCTTCCCTCTTTCCTTAAACCTGCCGGGTTGTGGGCTCTCTCTTTCCCCCTCTCCCTCCTTTCCTTTCTCTTTTTCCTTTTTTTTTTTTTTAAACCTTCCAAGGCAAGTTCATGGATACTAAGCTGATGTGTTTGTTGTTCTTTTTCTCTCTGCCTCCGCTCCTAGTGAGTAACCACACTGGCCGCATCAAGGTGGTCTTTACTCCGAGCATCTGTAAAGTGACCTGCACCAAGGGCAGCTGTCAGAACAGCTGTGAGAAGGGGAACACCACCACTCTCATTAGTGAGAATGGTCACGCTGCCGACACCCTGACAGCCACGAACTTCCGAGTGGGTGAGTTCCTCCACGGTCCCTAACTGTCCTGACCGACCAGCGTTTGATGAGCTCGTAGCATTTAGACACCCCCTCCATTCACACCGCTCTCTGCTTGAATGGGTTTCTGTCTACCAGTACGAATATGCTGCCTTCACGAGATCTTTTAAATTACTTTCGGTATCATTTTTAACTTGGTTTTTGGTTTCTGAGAGAGATGGCTAGCAGAGTCTTACCCTTGGTTACTTATCATGGACACAGCCTGTGGTGATGGGGAGGTATCGGGGGACAGGAGGAAAGAGGCTTTAAGTTAAGACCCCAGTGTACAGCTTGCATTGATCCATTTCAAATTTTATCTGCTCGGTGATAAGTCAAATTTATGTTAGATTTGACTCATGTGAGAAAATTTGGATGGTGGTGATGAAACTTTCATAAATAGCCAGGTTCTAAAAAATTTCTTAAAATTGTCAAATATGTGTATTTCAGTTGTAGATGGGGATACAGACTTGCATCTTTTGCCACGTTTCTGCTGCGTATCAAAAGGCAAAATTATAAGTTTGATGTATGACATGGATTTGGGGGAAGATATGCTCCTGGATTACTGTCAGCACTTAAAACCTTTTAATCTTTCATAATCTAAATATGAACTATGGTAGTTACTGCAGAAAGACTTTTCCTTTTACATTCTTGTTTCTTTTTACTACTTTGTAAATGGAGAAAGTATTGCGGCCCACTGAATGCTGTCACACTGCCATGTTGTCATTCAATACGGTATTTTTGTCACGGAAAAATGTCTTTTATTATTTTTTGACCAATTATGGTTTGCCATGTGTACTCAAATAATCACAGACACCCACGTTACTTTATGAGTTACTCACAAGAATAACCCAAATGTCAGACAGATAATAACACTGGCTAGATCTGGTCTTTTTATGGAATATTGCTGTTTAGTCTTGGGAGCATGTGTCTAGTGGGTGGGTGGGGGGTGTCTATTTCAAACTGATTTCCATCAAGACAAAATACAAGGAGGCAGTTTAAGTCCTCATTAGCTCTTTTATTATCCTGCTGCTTTATTGTGACTTGGGTTTCTTTGGAGGTTGAAGCACTGTTCTTGATAAGTCTATACTTGGAAAAAACATGTGCCCATAGATACTATTTAAAGGGGTATTGTTAATTTCCTGGTGATGATAGGGGTACTTCGGACATATTTTTAAGAAGAATTTAGCTGTTAGGTGCCAAATGGCATATCATGCTTTAACAGGGCAGGGAGCTGAGTCTAATGGGAAGTGTGTTTAAACTGATGATCGGGGAAACTGGATTTTGATCCTGGTGCTGCTGCTAACTGGCTAATACATGGGATGTGGCAGTTAATATTTCTGGACCTTAGTTTTTCCCATCCATAAAATAAATGGTTTATATTTAGTGGCTTCTAAAATTCAGTCCCATTTCTAAAACCTTAGGACTTTTTCTTTATCAGTAATAAGTGAAACTGTTTTTTGGCTTTTTTGGAGGGCTATAGACAAGGAAGGGAAAAAGAAGTTCCCAATTAGGTTATTATGAGCTAAATGGCTTTTTTTCCATTTTTACTTTCCTTGATTGCTTTGCTTATTCTCATTCCTTTTCTTCCTTCTCCATCATCAATAATGCCTGCTTCTCTTCCTTTTGTCTCTTTTCATAAACCTTTACAGTAGAAATGACAGAGTAATTGGGCGGGTGGTAATTTTTTGGCTTATGGTGTATTCACTTCGAAACTAAATATTTGAAGGCTTTGAGAAGCAGAGGAAGTCTACTTGTTAAAACATGCTGCACACTTTCCTCTCTGGCATTTAAGCAGATGTTTAGGGACAGGATACACACAGTCTGTTCAAAATACAAAACGGAGCACAGCTATTTACTCAAAAATCTCAGAACCAGGCTCAACTCTGCCACAAGAGGACTGACAAGGTAGTTTGATGTTAAGAAGTAATAATAAAAGGGAGAGGGCAGAGGAATGAATAGTTTCACATTGGAAATCATGGGAAATGTTTCATTTATACCCTGAGCTGTTTCTCTTCTCTACTTTAATTCCCGTACAGGGTGATTTGACAGACAAGTTTTTAAAATTATTCTGTTGAAGATGGTAATTTTGTAGAATTTGGAGATTATGATTCTCTAGCAATAGAGAACTTTAGAAATTCATTTTTAGGCATCTAAGATATCTTCTTGAGATTTACTGGTTTAAGATGATTTTATTACTTGCAGAAAGTGGTTTTCTAATTGGTTTTCCTCACTCTATATATGTACTATATATATATATGTGTGTGTGTGTACAGGGTGTTAAATCTTTTGACAAATCAGATGTGTTACATGGAAAATAGTGGTTTGAGGAAAATTCAAAATGTAATTTGTCAGCTACTTTTTGGCCTGTGATATTTAAGGCTACTGAAATGTGGGGACTGGCAAACTTTTAAGGGGCCAGAGAGTAAATATTTTAGACTTTGCAGCCCACAGAGTGTGTGTTGCACTCTGTCCTATGTGGTATGGTGACAACAGCCATAGATGGTAGGTATGGGAATGGGTGTGGCTGCATTATACAAGCCGTCGATGGGCTGAATTTGACTCTAGTGCCAGCATTTGCTGACTCCTGCCCCCAAGGAGTCAAAAAAATAATCCAGGGAAAACAATATAGATTTTGTAGTTAAGGCACCCTAATTAAATAATCCATTTTGATGATCAGAATCGCAGAAATAAGTTTTAACGTTTCCATGGTGACGTCCAGGTAGAACAGATGTTAGTGTCTCCATGTTTTTGGACAAGGAGACTGAGGCACACTGGCTTCAGCGGGCCTCCCTTCATTACGCAGGTCAGTCAGCTGGGGCTCCAGCCCAGCTCTCCTCCTGTCTGTTTTACCTCCCTGGCGTCTGGCTGTGACGTGTAGGAGGGATAAAGTGAAGGAAGAACCTGAGGGGGTTGGGTTTTCTGAGAAGGCTGGATGTCGCCACAGAGAGTAAGCAGCCGGTGTTTACGAGCCCTGGGTCTGCACACTGGCTTCTTCGTGTCCGTGGGCCGTGCTCATCTGGCTCTCCGTCCTCTCCTGGTCCAGGTCACTCGTCCACACAATGCAGGGGATAGCGGGTAGGTTGAGGGTTATAGCAGGCACAGGCGTGACATTGGTTCCTTCTTTTTTTTTTTTTTGAAATGCACCTTGTGACATGTGGAATCTTAGTTCCCCACCAGGGATCGAACCCACAACCCCTGCAATCAAAGTGCAGAGTCTTAACCATTTGACCGCCAGGGCAGTCCCCTCCTTCTTTGGTTTTTGGTACTGCTTCTACGTTGTCTTTCTGGTCCGTGGTGACTGCGAGTCTCCGCTGTTCAGATGCGAGAGGCAGGTGCTTTTCTCGTGACCATTAAGCATATAGTCTCTTTTCCTGGTAATTCAGTGGGAGAAATAACTGTAATTTCTACTTAATTTGACTCTAAAAGTGAAGCCCGAATGAAGACGACGTCCACAAGAAATACTCTGAGATTCTAGGATAAACTCTATTTTGTGAATGTGATGTTGAAATGATGTAACAGAATACTTGCATTAAGTGGAATCCTCTGTGAAGCAAACTGTAAATATGACTTTTTTTTTTTGGTGGCATTTTGACCTATGCCTCCTTGCACTTTCCTGCCTTTACCTCTCTCTCTCTTTTTTTTTTTAATGAAAACAATCCCACAGCATTTTTTGTCATCTGGTAATAACATGCTGTTGCTGCTGAGTTGCTTTAGTCGTGTCTGACTCTTTGCGCCCCTATGGACTGTAGCCCACCAGGCTCCTCTCTCCATGGGGATTCTCCAGGCAAGGATACTGCAGTGGGTTGCCATGCCCTCCTCCAGAGGGTAATAACATGAGGGTGAACTAAACAATATGAATACATGTTTTAGAACATTTCTAACGAAGGGTACCTAAAAAACACACCATATTGCCAAGTGATTTCTCACTCCATTGATCATTCCCAGTTGGAGACACTGTAATACAGAGTAACGTTTCTCTCCTTTTAGCATGATCTGACCCAGTTTTCTTGACTTTTAGAATGAATCTCTTCTGTATCATCTAATGCGAGTTCATATGCTCATCAAAACCAGTGAGACAGCCCTCTATATGCATGTTCACCTGCTCATAAAGCCACACCTGAATCTGAGATCTATTTGCAAGTGTCTGAAGATGAGATTGATGGACTGCACCATCACCTTTTCATCATCTGGCCCTGGGCCTGGTGTGCCCTCGTGGAAGCTCTCAGAAACCACACAGCCCTGCACACTATCTCAAAAAGCAGCTTTTGGTATAGAAAGTGCCTTTGCTTTTTTTTCCAAGATGGAAGCATATCCCTAGTTGGGTGGGCCAGCAGGTTAACTGTTGTTTGTTTTAATGGATTCTTTGCATTTCATGGGAATGTAATGAAGATGACCTCCTGGGACTTTTAAGTTGTTGTTTATAGTTATAAGTTCTTCTAATAAGAAGAATATAGAAATTCTATGTTGTCACAACCAGAATATTTCAAATAAAATAATACTGTTGTCTGGTATAACTTCCTTGCAGAGAGAGAGTGAAAGGCAATCATGATTGCTAAACTAGCACATGTGGTTTCTGTGATGCTGCTTTCTCTAAGGAGAACATGAGGGACTCATGTTCTGTTAGCACCAGTTGAATACTGACAAAAAGTATTTGCTAATGTATGGTTTGGCCAAAAAGTTTGTTCAGGTTAATGGAGAAACCTGGATGAACTTTTTGGCTAACCCAATAAAAACTTTGATCCTATGTTATTCCGTTTGGTTCCTGTTTCCCCTGAGAGAGGTAAATATCTATATTTTGTAGATATGAGTTCCAAGTCTTTAGTGGTTTGGTCAAAGATGACTTTAAGTCAGGTTTTCTTATTCCAGAATCTAAAAGCCTGTTATCCTTCTGTGGTGCCTCCTATGTTAAGGAATCAGGTAGACAACACTGTGCTAAAATTTCCAGAACCAAGAAATTCATAAAGCTGCCCTCTAAGAGCTTA